TAAATTTTTTGATACTCATTTTGTAAGTTATCTATGCTCTTTTGGTATTTGTGTAATGTTCATTTTAAAATAAGCATTACACTAAACAATTTAAAATAGGTTTAAATATGTGTTTAGTCCCTGCAATTATAGTACATTTTGTTTTACATCCCTGCAAAATTATTTTTTTGTTTTTCGTCCCTGCAATTACGTAGGTTTTCTTTTTAGTCCATCATTGGTGATAACAATCTCCGTTTGACTTCAAAATAACCCCGATTAATACATTCCCTCTAATTCTTTGTCATGTTATTTAAAAAGTATTTTATTTTATTTTTTAGAAAGTTTTTAATATATATTTTCAAAATATGAATACTTAGTTTTAAATTATTTTAACTCTCATATTAGCCTCAAAAAAATTATAAAAGGACAAATCTACATATTTTTACTAGATTTATATAACTAACAATAACTTTTGTTGTAAGTAGAGTAGTTTCAGAATTGGAGATGGACTAAAAGCAAAATAGTGTATATTGCAGGGATGAAAAACAAGAAAAATATTTTGAAGGGACTTAAACCAAAATGTGTCATATTTGCAGGGACTAAAAACGTATTTAAGCCTTTTAAATATCATATTTGTGCATATTGATGTAATGCTCATTTTAAAATTTTCAATGCTCATTTCATAAGTTATGTATTCTCATTTATTATTAGAGCATACTAAAAATTTTAAATGAGCTTTTTTTAATTTTTTCGATGTTCATTTTGTAAGTATGTGTGCTCATTTGATATTGGTGTAATGCTCTTTTTTGTAAGTTACGTATGCTCATTTAGTATTGATGTTATGCTCATTTTTCAAATGTCATATCAATACATATTTCAAAAGTATCATATATTCATATTACATTATATTTGCATATTGAAATTCATAAGAGTTGATTATAGATATAATTTAATAAGTTTTTATAAAACAAAAATATAAAAAAAGACTGAATTAAAAGACATGAAGTCTTGAGATTACGATTCTCAATATTAGACTCCTAATAGTCAATATATTAGGTCTAGTGCTAATTAAAAGTTCATTAATGCTCATTTAAGAGAAAGCATTATTTTCATCTCAATATAGGAGCTTTGATGCTCAATTAAAATGTCATGACGTTCAACTAACAAATCTTATGAATTTCATATTTATGCTCATTTTGTAAGTTACATATGCTCAAATGGTACTCATGTTATGCTCATTTTTAAAATGTCATAACAATGCATATTTCAAAAGTACTATATTACATTAGATTCGCATATTGAAATTCATAGGAATTGATTATAGATATAGAAAAAGAAAGTAAATTATAATATATGAAATTGATATCACAATACTCATATTTGACTCTTAATGCTCAATAGAATACGTCTGATGCTCATTAAAAGTGTATTAATGCTCATCTAACGAAAACCATGATTGTCACTGATATTACGAAAATGCCACCGTTTTTTAGTTGTGATATCAACTTTCTTGTACTAACACGGTGCTCATTAAAATTGGGCTATTGCGCATTAACCGTACACTGATGCTCATTTAGTACAAACCACAAATTTCATATTAATTACAAAAATACCACCGAATTATTTTGCTATTTTTTTCTTGGGCCTGTTACTTTCCTTATTTGGCCGGCTGTACGGTGCTCACCGTACAGCCGGGTGTATAATATACGCTCTCGTTTATCTGTCATTCTGTCAACGAACAGTACTGTTATTTGCCTCCCTTCACGTCCAACCCATTCAACAGATGGAATGGTTAGGGCTAGATAAGATTTGGCTGAGAGCTCACCCCGTCTAGCTCAGAAGAAAGTCCACACCGGTGGACATCCTTGTAAACTAAAAGAACTTAGACGGTCGGAAAAATAAAAAGAATTGAGATGCTCTGGATGCTGATGACTAATGCTGATGACTAATGGCGATTGACGACGAGTGAGATGATGGGGATGGGCGAGACGACGACAACGAGTGCAATGTTGGTGGCAAGTTCGGACTCTGGAGATCCCCGTTTTGCTGCAAATAGGTCAACTTTTTTTTTAAAGAAAATATGAGTTATTAAAATTTTGGGTCTGGGTCTAGACATAGTAGATTTGGGTATGATCCAGAAGGCATCAGGCATGTTAAATTGGAGTTTGACACCCCTACTTTGAGGTCTCTAACAATAAAGAGGGGCACTTTAAAATCAGTCCAATTGTCACGCCCCGGACCGCATCCGTGCCACGTAGACAACCGCCGTACAACCCAATAAGAACAACGTAGTTCATTCTTATCAAATCATACAAGGCGTCCGATAGATTCTATCGCCAAACCGATTAGTAAACCCATACAATCAACATAAACATATAAATCAAACAAATGCGGAAATAAAATATGTTTGATATTTAGCCACACGTGGCAAACATGAGCACGCAGGCCCTTCAACAGTTTAATAGAAAACATCGGTCAAATATCCATGAGCAATTTCATAATTTCAAATAAGAATGGAAGCACGAACCACGTCTTCCTTATTTGAGTTCACCCTAGGCAAAGGTGCAGGTAGCAGGACTCTAGCCTTAACCTGAAAAATGTGAGGGCCCCCGAAGGGGTCAGTACTCCATAGAAAGTACTAGTGACAAGCAGGCTATATGAGGAATAACTAATGTTTCAGACACGAGACCCAAAAATAGGATGATACATGTATTTATAGGTGTAACCATTGTTACCCCATTCCCAAGATAATACATACTGTATATACTTGTAAAATACTTGACCCGTAGGTCGTTTCCTCACAAAAAAGGTCTTTTAGAGATAAGGTACTTACCCAACCTTTCCCCTTTCATCCTGAAAGCCTAGCTCACAAGCTACATTATACTTTCATAATATCCTACCGAGTTTCGGGAGTGTTTACCATCCCGGGGATGCTCAACCCCAACCGAGTTTTAGGATTGTTTACCGTCCTGAGGATACTCAACCTCACTGAGTTCTTGGGATTGTTTACCGTCCCGAGGATACTCAACCTCAACCTTATTCCATACCAACCCTATCTTGGATATGGCTAACATTTCGTTCACTCGGCTATGGACAATACCTAGTCCTATAGTCATGTAACAATCCTTAGTAACCAACGTGGGCAGGTCCCACCTGATCGGTCCACGTTATCCTACTCAAAAACTACCTGTTTTGAGTATAACCCAATACTCGATCGAGTACCCACCTATACTCGGTCGAGTACAGGAGGCAGCAGCTCGTAAGGCTAATTTTCCATGCATACTCGATCGAGTACCTATCCATACTTGATCGGGTATAGGAGACAGCAGCCCTTGGGGCAGATTTTCAGCAAATACCCGGTCGGGTATTGGTCAATACCCAGTCGGGTATTGTAGTTGACTTGGCGGTCAACGCACGTTTGACCGCCCAAACGGAGTCCGATTAACGTGAAATTTTACATGCATGTACTACTTGAAGTCCTTGATCCAAAAATACCTATTTTGGCCCTTGAAACATTATACATATCAATTTATGTAATTTCACTAATCAAACCTACATTTCATGCTTTCCAACTATGTTATGGTTTCTATCATGACATAACACATACTTTACTACCATTAATCAATTCATAAAACATGTTCTTGATTAATTTAGGTAATCTCATGCCTCACGCAAAAGTTATAAAGCATATAGCCGTCTTCTCACCTTAAAAGAAGCTTCGGGAGCTCTAGCCTTTCTTATTGAGCTCCGGTAAAACTCCGGTGAACTTCAACGAACTCCGGCGACAACTCCGACGACCCTTTCAACTCCGTGAAAGTCCTTGAAGTACCTTATACAAGTTAACAACAAGGTTTTATCATCATAAAACCCATATCAACATAAATAACCTCTAAAAGGTTATTTTCCGACGAACCGGTCAACTTTGTTCTCTAAATCCGTCTTGGATATGAACCAACCTTCCAACCCCTCATCTTTACATCTAATGTGAAGAGCAGTTCCATGGGTATGAAGTATGATTACATAACCATATTGGGAGATTAAAGAAAAGGAATGGGATTAATGGAGTTATTACCTTGTTAATCCTCAAGTTTTCCTTCTTCTTTCTCTTTCCTTTCCCCTCCTCCTTCTTCCTTAGCTTTGGTTCGAATGGGGATGGTGGAAATAGTATTTTGCAGAGCTCCTCTCTCAAAAATGGATGGTAAGGTCGAAAGGATGGGTGTAGGGAGTGATTGGGGTGACTTTGGCTCCTTCCATGATGATGAGAGGTGAGGGGTCCCCTTGGAGTCAACTCTTGTCTCAACCTCCCCCCTTAGCTCGCCTCTATCATCTTAAGTCAACATTTGCACACTCCTCTCATCAAGAGCTGGAAAAACGTGGGGTGGCCCCCCCCTTATGTGGGAGATCATCCCTTTATGTCCCCGAGTGTACATTTGGTCTCGAAAGTTGTATTTTCCGGACTGGTTTAATTGTATTTCATTTTATCGGGTAAAATGAAATATCTATCATTCTTCCAATTATTATTGGCTATAAGAATGAATGTATATTCCCAAACTTTTAGTTTAGCGGTCTCCATGATTTATTATGGCTTTTATCTGTCAGTATGCCGGTACCGATAAATGGACCTTATATGCTCAATTGGCTACTCACATAATTTATATGGCCCAACAAGGATATTCACCATCATACACATATTACCTTGACTCAAACAAATATAATATGTGGGCCCGATAATATCGGGTGGTCCCCACCTCTAGTGTGGGCCCCACGTGAATTTTACTATTCACGTAAAAAGAAATGATAAAAAAATTTACAATCACGTAGAATGCATTCATTCATCTCTTGGGGTTCAATACATAATTTGATAAAGTACAAATACTCGAGGGTGGTGTTACACCAAACGCATTGTAATATGTGTCCCTGGAGTTTGACAACCCTCCTTTGTGTTCTTGGTTTACTCTAAGAGAAAACATATGACTATAATTGCCCCCCCCCTCCACCCCACCCCACCCCACACACTTTGGTTAGTAAATATGTGTTCACAAATTGGCACAAGTTCTCTTCCAGTACGCAATACCCTTTTCCCAGTAAGCTTCTTAGCCCCAAATCATAAGGTTTATTGATTGTGTATATTCAATCGTGTATGTAGGCCATATGTGTGACCATAGGAAATTAACTTCTCCTACACACACAAACCAATGTATGCTCATACTCCAGTTTTCCCAATTGTTATCTTAATAGATGTTGGCTCTATTTAATTTTAGAGTTAATGACTCAAATCGGACTTATTGCAAACTTTATTGCACATATAGGACTGCTTACGAAAGTAGAGTTTCATAGGACTAAAAATAGCTTTAATGGACAAAAACACCCCTGTTATAATATTTCATTTAATGATTTAGGAGGTATTGCACGGTGCACGAAGCACGAGGCTTGTGAGTCGAAATTTTGGGTAGCCGCAAATGGAAAACCACCCCTAGCATGCGCAGCCTGCCTCTGGCCATCCGCCTCGCCGCAGCCTCCCACCGGCGTCTCCATCCTTGGCAGGCCCACCAGCATCGCCATCTGCCACCACCGTCACTGTTCTCCGATGTTGCCGACTTGCCGCCACCCCATCGTCATAGTCGCGGTTGCCACTTTGGTCACCATCACTGCCTTATCAAAATTGCTACCAGTGTCAATTTCAGCACCACCATCACCGCCACAACTCCGGCGCCATATGTCTACCATTAACTTGACATATTTAGCTTAATTACAAATCTGCCAATCCATTAAAAATGAATTTTCAAAACTGCCATAAAGTTGGCAGATTTATCTTGCAGATTTATATAAAACTGCCATAATCTTGGCAAAATATGAAGTCAACAACTAAAGGTTCAAAAAATCTCAAATTTTAATGGAACAATCACTATAACAAATTCACCTCAATCACAAAATAAGAAATTAATGATAAAAATTAGAAAGATCAGAGTTTACACAAAAGCTCTTTGCCATAATATGATTGTTAATGTACATTTCTTGCATAAACTTGGCAGATTTATCTTGCAGATTTGTACGAAACTGCCATAATCTGGCAAAATATGAAATCAACAACTAAATGTTCAAAAAATCTCAAATTTTAATGGAACAATCACTATAACAAATTCACCTCAATCACAAATAAGAAATTAATGATAAAAATTAGAAAGATCGGAGTTTACACACAAAAGCTCTTTGCCACAATATGATTGTTAATGTACATTTCTGCCATAAAGTTGGCCAAATGTGATGCCATCATCCATAAAAAACAGAATATCGTTTTGTTTTTTTGCAAATTAAGAATCCAGAAAACAGTATTATGAATTAGAAGTCTAAAAATCAACAAGTTGAATGTCAAAACTCAAAATAGCATAGGAATAGAAGGAAAATCAGAAAGATCAATATCAAAACCCGAAAAATTGAATAACAGGCGGATGAGGAGGAAGAGGAAGAAGGAGGAGGGGGAAGAAGATGAAGAAGAAGAAACCTGACACGCGGCGGCCTGCCGCGGAGCCAACAACGGTGATGGCTTGGGATGAATTTGACGATGGCGTGTGGACGATGCGGTGAAGTCGATGAATTGATGCGCAGAGGAGAAGAGCTCGTTGGATCTGATTCATATGGGAGAAGGGAGAGAGGCGGTGAGGATGTAGTGGAGAGGTGTTGTACGTGGTCTAAAGCAGGAGATGAGTAGTGGATTAAGGCAGGGATATAAATGTGATGAAAATTGTCTATGTTTTCAAATGAGAGTAATATGATCCTATTTAGGGAAAAAACTTACATGTAAATTTCTCATGTGTTTTACTCTCCTATTTGAGACAATTACTATTAATTTTATTTGTTTTATTTGCTTCATAGGCTTGTTTAATCATTTACGTAATTGATGTTCTAATTGATGGTTTAAAAAGATGCTAATGTGATTAATGAGGTGCACATGGTTTAGTATAGTGTTATTGAAGATTAGAAGGAGAAATGGAATTTAGTGTAAGTTTTGGGATTTTACTTCTGGAGGGTTCACTTTAACTTTATTACCTCATATACCATATGGGATGAATTGCTCTCAGTTTGAGAGCAGTTTTATGCTTGTCAGGTAGTGGTTTTTCATCAATACCGATCTTGGGAGTACTAACCCGCCTCCAAGTTACCTAATTTTTTTTAAATACTATGAGTGGTCTCTTAGTAAATGTACAAGATATGTTAACTTAGTGAAAAAGTAATGAGGTTAATCTCGATTAAAACTTAGCAAACTGAATTGAAAGGGCATCAAGAAAGTGAATTGTAGTACTCATAGGGTTATCTCTTAAATGCCCGAGTATATGAGTCAGCCTATAGAATTAAAGTCATTAGTTACTGGCCACTATATAGAAGTCTCCGAAAATTCGCGTTAGCAAAATGAAAAAGTTAGGAAGTTCAACTAGAACCATATCAAATTGCATTGACATGCACTGTGTATTTGATTTGGAAGGCTATGAATGAAACACTTTTTTCCAATATGGTAGCCACAACAGTAAATACTATAGAGCAAATTAAAGTACTTATTTATAAGATCATGCTTAGATTATATTCTACTAACATGATTGAACACTGAGGTTAAAAAGTGAAAGGGAGGGCGGCTCTAAATCTGTTTTTTGAGGAATTTGTTGTTGATAGTTTATTAGATTTGATAGGTTGTACGTGGTTGTAGAATTTTCTGTTTTGATAGTTGGGTAGTCTGCTTTATTGGTGTTGTATGGAATGGGGGAATGTTTTTGCAACATTGCTGTTTCGCTGTTTTTGTTGTGCACAATTTAGAGGCCGTTTGGATACACTGTTTTTCGGTTTATCGGGTTTATCAGCCAACTTTTTCACCATACACGTAATTTTTGCTTTCGCGCGCTGAATTATGTAATAAGCAGAAAAAGTAAGGTTGGAGTTGCTTTTCTGGCTGTATTGGCTGAAATTACTGTAGATGACCATTATAACTATTTTTACGTATAATTTTTTCTTTATTTTATTAATAAAGTATATTTTTTAAAAAAAATCTTAAACCAGCAGAATCAGCCACTTCAGACAGAACTTCATAAATTTCAGCAGAATCAGCCAAAACAGACGATTTTGGTGCTACCAAATGGACTCTTAATGCGCATTGTGTTTGATCATAGAATGAGTTTTGGATATATAGCTTTAAGAAATTCATCAGGCTGCTGATATAAAGCTTACGAGGGGATGCCGTTGTGTTGATTGTACACATATTTTCCGCAGCTGATTTTATTTAACTTTCATGTTCATGACCACTAACAACCAGAAGTGGCGTTAATATACTTAGGGTCTGTTTGCAACAACTTCTTCTTTTAAAAAGTGCTTTTTTTAATGAAATGGAGAGAAGTGATTAAATAAAAGTTGATAGTGTTTGAGATAAAAGTGATTTTGAAAAGTAAAAGTGGGTAGTGTTTGGTAAAATAAGTGCTTTTTGTGTAATAGAAAAAGTAAAAGCACTTTTGACGCGGAAGCCGAGAAAAATAAAAGTTGCAGTGTTTGGGAAAATAAGTGTTTTTTTAAAGCCAAAAGCTGAGAAGTGCTTTTTTAAAAGAAGTTGCAAACCAACCCTTAGCATAAAGCACAACTCATGTATCACGTATTAGGTGGTATTGAGATTGAAACCAAGGTTTATTAAACTCTTATATAAGATTTGTCCTCATTTCTTACTCTCACTTTTGATGCACCGGGTGAAGCCTTTGTTCTTATTCTCATTTCTTACTCTCACTTTTGATTCAACGGGCTAAGCCTTTGTTATTATGATGCCTTCATGTGGCTTGATTTGTTAGATGTTTTTGTCTGGACTAATGCCCGTTAATCTTGTACATAACCTTTCTTGTCGAAATACAGTATATATATTTAAATCCCGCAAACAATTGTATTATGCACATTTTTTGCAATAGTAGTCATGTAAAAAATGTATGCCATTTTATACCGTTCATATACAATATTGGGCATTCTCACAATTGCGCAACGCGCGTTACAAAAACTAGTTTTGTAATAAAACACATGCTATAACAGGGCAAAAACCGGTAAAAAAATACATGCTACTTTTTTTTTAGTATATGAGAATAATAGAATAAACTATTTGAATTGAAAGTAATGGAAAAAACTATTTGACCTTTTTTCCTTTTTTTATTCAAAAACTTGCTCATTAGAGAATATAATGTAATTTCAAACAGATCGTTAAATCACTCTAGATTAAGGATGGCAATGGGGGCGGGGACCCGTGGGGAATCGCCCCGCGGGGGAAGGATGGGGCGGGGCTTGGAGCGGGGTGGGGGCGGGGATGGGTGAGATCTTTTTACGCCGTTAAAATATGGGACGGGGGACGGGTATTGCTACACCCGCCCCGTCCCCGTTACAAATATATACTCAAACATATATGTACAAATATATAAATAATGTACACACATATTAAATTTAATTATATGTAGTATATTACAAACGCATATACATATAGACATACATAATTGTATACGGTTTAATCATGGTTAATGAATTAATACATTTTATACTAGCAATAAGCTAGTAATGATTAAAAATATTTATCATAAATGTTATATGAGTTTTAAGAGTGAGAAAGTGAGTAAATAAACACACACACATTTATATGTAATATGTAATTAATTGTATTATAATTTTTGAGAATTTTGAAACGACGTACATGATGATAATATGTTTACTTATATTTTTACTTTAACTGTCTTCAATTCACAAAACTTATCACTGTGTGTGCGTAGATATATACAGGGTTATGATCTCGCAATGTTTAACGTGCGAACACCACATTTACCCCCAATGCGAAACACAATGAGCTCGCAAAATGCACTTTTTCGTATCTAGTATAATATTTACAAAAGTGCCGCCGTGATTATTTATATTAGCTTGTATTGAGTCAAGTTCAAATGTGCACTAGAATGACTCTATTGTGTATCACATTGGATTAAATGTGATTAAAGTCCAAATGTGCACTAGAAGGACTCTATTGTGTATCAAATTGGTTTAAATGTGAGTGTTCCCACGTTAAGCATCGTTCTTATTGGAATCACACTACTTATATTTATAATAAGAGATTAAGGGTATATGCAAATACAATAAATTAAATCTATATGGGGCATCCGCGGGCACCTGTGGGGACAACGGGGTGAGGATGGGACGGGTCTGGGAGTAACGGGGGTGGAGATGGGGGAGTGTATCCCGTCCCAAACCCACCCCATTCTCATCCCTACTCTACATATACCCCTACATCCCACTAGTACTTCCTCTGGTTAAAAAATACAGTACTAGTTTAACACAGGCATTCTCGGCTGCCCCATTCTTCAAAACTAAAAGATTTGAATACCAGAAATTAAAGACGCACTGTAAGCACTAGATATAGGGAATGAGAGTGTGTGAGCTCCCAGTCACTCGTCTTCTCTGATTCCCAGTATTCAGTTTTTTCTGGGCTCAGGGACTCAGGAAAGATGTCTGACGAGAAGAGCAGCAGTGACGGCTTCTACAGATGGAGTTGGGATGTAGCGGGATTCGAACCAAGGTTGTCACCAACGGAGCACGACGATCACCACAACTTGACGCCGCCTGCCCCGCTGGTCCGGAGGCACTCGATCTCACCCTCATCCATCTCTTCGTATTCTGAATTATCTAAGCACGCCAAGAGCTCCGGACTCCTCAGATTGAAGAACAAAATCAAGGTTATCATTTCTCTTTCCTTTAACCTATGTGACTATGCCCTGTCAGTTCAAGTACAATATCAGGGAGTTCGTTTATCGATGAAGCAGAAATGTGAAATCTATACTGTCTTTTGGTTTCACCCTCTTACCTTATTACTTATGGACACGGAGAAGTTGTATCCTGGTGTGGATATTAGAAATGAGCGGTGATATTTTTAGCCAGGATAAGTTGATGCTTATGAGGTAAGTTGATTTAGGCTTTGAGGCTGCTAAGGTTTCCCATGAGGCCATGAGATATAAACTCTTGAGATGCTAAGTATATCTTTGAGCATTTCTTAAACTTTGTGCATCCTACCATTTGAAATGGCAATGTCAGGGGTGGTCCATGTTTTTCAAGTGGTCTCTTATACTACCTCCGTCTCAAAAAAACTTTGTCATTTTCAAAACTTTGACCATCTATATATTTTTATTTGAAATTATTTATAGTATAAAAATCATATAAAAATGTCCTTTGTTAAAAATACTTTCATAAAACTATAAAATTTATAATTTCCATAAGACCATACTAATCAAAATTATGGTTCAAATTTTATGAAATGGCAAAGGTTTTTTGGACAGAGGTATTATTATTATTAGTAATAGTAGCTTCTTTTTAGTATTGAAAGTCTATGTTAGTTAATTTCTTAGTAGTAGTACTGTAATAGGTTAAGACTACTCAAATACTAGATAAGTAATACGGGTAAGAGTGTTTGATGGAACATAAGAGTCCAACCACCTAAGAAAAGAGTAGATAAGTAATACAAATAAGGTAAGGAAAGACTAAACTATCTTACAAATAATAGCGAAACCAAGATACATGTGGAACTGCTTCCTTGTGCCCACAAGTCCTCTGACCTGCCCTAACTATTCACCTGATCCCCGCTTCTTACGATGATTATAACATTGTTACACAAATATGTCCATAACTTCACCTCCCATTATCCAAGAGCCTCTTTTGGAGGTCAATGATACAAA